TTTTTTTTCCAGAATCACTGTTCATAATTTTTTTGAACGTTTGGTTTGTATTACAATACAAATAAAAATTCGCGAAGAACACTAACCTGAAGGATCCCATCTACCACCATGTTTATTAATACTAATAAGAAGCCGTCCAGAAAATAAAGATTATTGAATAAAAACGAATATGAATTAGATGAGAGTGACAAGATTTCTGGAAAAAAATTGAAGAGAGAAAAGTGGAAGAAAATGGATGAAATCAGAATTTTTAATTAATTTTAATAAATTAGAGTGAAATAAGGAAACTAACTATTCTTAATTAGTTTGAATTTTCTTAATTTATGCTAATTAGTAATTATCTTCAATCAATTCAAATTTAATTAACACACTTATTTCCATTTTTTTACCTTTTTTTTTTTAGAAACGAATTATTTGATCTTTTTATTTTTTTCAAAAACAATTTTTTACAATTATTTAAAAAAAGCTTTTTTTTTAAGAAACTGTTACAATCTGAAATTTTTTATTGTTACAACTTGAAAGTTTAATTCTACTGTTATAACTTGAAAATATTAGTCTAATATATGTTATATATGAAATTTTCACAAACTAAAATCTCTAAACTTTTGAGTCGACACTTGACACTCGACTTACTCTCAAGTCTCAGGCAGCCGTTGTTCAGTGCTCAGGCTAGGCCGTCTATGGGTAAAGTTGATCATAAATGGCATGAACATGAACAAAAAAACAAGAGTTCACATATACAGAGGTCATCTGAGATCAGGAGAAGAAGTCAGTGCAATGAACCTGGAAGGTTGATAAGGCTTCCTGATTCACTTGCAAAACTCAAAGGTATTAGAGGCAGGGGCGAAGCCAGCCTTCTGTCATGGGGTTTCGACCCCATTCGGCGAATTTTTTTACTATTTATTTATACATTGTTAAAATGATTTTATTTATATATAATAAATGTTGAACCCTCTTCGGTTAGTTCTTGTGTTTAGTTCTTCAGAAATTGAACCTCCTTATTAAAAATTCTAGATCCGCCACTGATCAGAGGTTTGGATTTGATGCAAAAGATACATTGGTGACAAATGAAAAAGGAGCGGAAATTGACTCTGTTGAAGTCATAAGGGATAACGATAAGCTTTATATACAATGGTATCAATTTGTAAAAAAAAGTCTTTCAAAGTCATCAATTTTTGAACTTTTCTTCAACTGTCTAAACATTTGCAAAGCAGTACAATTGGATATGACTTGTAAGAACCTAAGAGTTTGAAGAAATTAAACAATTGAATTTTGAAAACGTATCACTGTTTATTAAATTTGGTTAAACTGAAAATTGAATCGCACTAAATCAATTTGAATTTATGATAATCGAACCAAATCGAATTTATTTCAATTTGGTTTGGTTTCAAATTTTTACCAAATCAAAAATTACAAATCGAATCGAACCAACTGAACGTCCAGCCCTACATATACCTCCTTACATTGATAGTTCACTAAATAATTGCAATAAAGGCCTCAACTAATAATTTTGCTTAATTGATACTGTACAAATATATATATATATATATATATATATATATATAGATTATCAAGGATTTCACCACCAACAACTAGATAAGCCTGAGTTTCAACATTAACCTCTGGTGTGTTGACATCCAACTGCAAAGAAAAGCTTGAGCCAGACATTGCAGAAATCCTTGATTCTTCCTCACTTATATTATCACAATCATTGTCAAATATACTTGAATCAAGAATATGATGACCCCATCAACGAGTTGTGGCTATGTGTTTACGACCCATTTGAAAATAGTTTAAGGAATCGACCAAAAGTCATAAGAAACAAAGTTAAAAATTGAAAAAAATAATCAAAATTAAGATTATTGTAACCAAAAATGAATATAATGAAATGGATTAAAGGAAGAACTACAACAAGCTGGCAATTTTTATTTTTTGAAACTGAAATTGTTGGAAGAGAATCACCAAGAACACGGACAAAGCATTTTGTATGTAAGAGTCTCTTTAGTTAAACAATGTAATTAAGTCTCCTTAAGTCTAAATTAATGATGAAAGAGGTTGGACTTGGATGGGGAAATTGGACCTAAAC